ATTTCCTGTGCTAAACCACTACCTGTGCAAAGTTCATATGAAATACATAAACTTTTTCATAAAAAATGTTACAAAATGCGCAATAATTATTTGTGCAATAGGGCTGGTGCAATAACTTGGAGATTTTATAGTTGCTCAGTGCACAAATGGACAATAGACATCAACAGTAAACACATGTACTGTATCTTGCAACTGTAATCTGACTGTACTTGTGTGTGTAACTGTGTTTTTAAGCTTCGGCCAGTGAGCCCAAGACAAATTTCCCTCTGGGACAATAAAGTTTATCTTATCTTAACTTCTCTTAAAACAGTGAATATGTCAAGTGTATTTGCATAAACAGTGTCCTTCCTTAAATAAGCAAGAAAGTAGTAGTGTGGTAACAAAAAAATTGCTAAAATAACCAACGATAGCGATACTGTATCACTAAATCTGTTATCACGATATATTGATATTTTGATATTTTTGCACACCTCTAATATTGAGGCCTGTAAACATAAACTATAAATCAATATATTGTATCAGTGCACAAACTTGACTTTTACATTATACATTTACTATGATAACAGACATGTGATTAATCAAATTTTAATTTATTCACTGCATAACTCCTGAGTCCTTTGGGGAGTTGCTTGGAATGAGGCGGGCTACAAGTTTGCAGACCCCTGGTGTAGATATATTACTCTTCCTATGTGTCTTCTGCACGTTTCGCATGTGTGGCATCTGCAGACCTGATCTGAAAGCCAATACCCCTGCACATGCATCTACCCCGCTTCCCCCCTCTCTCGCTTTATATGTCTTTCTATCTCTCTCTCTCCCTCCCTCTCCCCCTCTCTCGTGTGGTGAAAAGGTGCGAGTCGGCACTAGAAGGATCCCAACAGATGTATGTGCGCAGGACTAGCTCTGATCCCGGTGCCATCCACATACCGGACGTCCCAGTGGAGCACAACAGAGGATCGAATAAAGAGCCACGGCGTGTAATATGAACCACAACGTGTTTATCTTCTGCCAATCGGGACACTTGGCACCAGAAGTGAGTTCACAAGCAGAATGAAATTGACTTGATAAAACTATTCAAAGGTCAAATGTTTAACTTCAAGAAGTAGGCTAGTAACAGTAGCAGTAATAGTAGCAGTAGAAGTAGTAGCAGTAGTAGTGATAGCAGTAGCAGTAGTAGTAGTAATAGTAGCAGTAGTAGTAGAAGTAGTAAGAGTAATAATAGGTAGTAGTAGTAGTAGCAGCAGTAGAAGTAATAATAAGTAGTAGTAGTAGTAGCAGCAGTAGAAGTAATAATAATAGTAGTAGTAGTAATAGCAGTAATAGTAGTAGTAGCTGAAGTAGTAATAGTAATAGTAGTAGTAGTAGCAGCAGCAGTAGAAGTAGTAATAATAATATTAGTAGTAGTAGTAGCAGCAGCAGTAGAAGTAGTAATAATAGTAGTGATAGAAGTAGTAGTAGTAGTGGTAGTAGTAATAGTAGTAGTAGTAGTAGTAGAAGTGGTAGCAGTAGTAGCTGAAGTAGTAGTAGTAATAGAAGTAGTAGTAATAGTAGGTAGGAGTAGTAGTAGTAGTAGTAATAGTAGTAGTGGTAGAAGTAGTAGTAGTAGTAACAGTAGTAGCAGTAATAGAAGTACTAGTAATAGTAGTAGTAGCTGTAGTAGTAGTAGTAGTTGTAGTTACTGTAGTAGTTGTAGTTGTAGTAGTAATAGTGGTAGAAGTAGTAGTAGTAGTAATAGTGGTAGAAGTAGTAGTAGTAGTAATAGTGGTAGAAGTAGTAGTAGTAGTAATAATAGTAGTAGTAGTAGTAGTAGTAGTAGTAGTAGTAGTAGTAGTAGTAGTAGTAGTAGTAGTAGTTGTTGTAGTTGCTGTAGTAGTAGTAGCAGTAATAGTATAGTAGCAGCAGCAGCAATAGCAGTAATAGTAGTAGTTGTTGTAGTTGCTGTAGTAGTAGTAGCAGTAATAGTCATAGTAGCAGCAGCAGCAATAGCAGTAATAGTATTAGAGTAGTTGTAGTAGCTGTAGTTGTAGCTCTAGTAGCAGAGTAGTTGGTATAATATTTGTTTTACATTTTTAATTGTAATACATTGTTAATTGTTAATATTTGTGTTGCATTGTTAATTTCTATGGCAACCACAGACTGATGGCAACTGTCCTCATTGTCCTCATGCTGAAACCTGTATTGTTGCAGTGGACAACAAAACAATTCAAATGCTTTCTTGTGGCGATTTTTGTCAGTAGCAATAAAAATAGTATCTGTTGCAGGTTATAGTAGTATTTATAGTTGTAGTACTGGTAGTATTTTAGTAGTAGTTGTTGTTATAGTAGTTTTAAACGTTGTTGCATCATAATTGAATCAAAACGTCAAAACCTACAGACTTACTTTAGCATGTACATGAAAAATCTTTAGCACTGCCAATGGAAATGAACATCTTTGAAATCTGTGGCAGCTGCAGTAAACACTCGGGTCTCTGGCAGAGGTCAGTCAGTCCTATCCAGAAGCATTTAAAGTAAACTAAACACCAAATAATTTTTAAACAAATACTTCATTTCTTATCAGTGCAGAATGGGGCTGAGTGAGATAGAGATCCTTGTTTTGATTGATGTAAAGTTTCGAGGCTTTTAGTAATGAGCTTAAATGAAATAAACAAGACTTGTGTAACAGATGAACCCTTTCAACCCCAAAACTATTCAACATACAAATATTGCCATGTAACTCCTCCAAAGTCTCAACTTCCCACAACATTCTTTTACTGATACATGCAGGATTGGCTGTAGACATCTTGAATAAAAAGCCCCTAAGTTTATAATTTGTGATTTTAAATACACATTATCTTGATCAGAAATAGCAATATTCCAAGTTTAGGAATATCTTAAAAATTATTTCCACTGATTAAGATAGTGTCAGTGTGAGAATTTGCCCTTGACATATACTATTGCTTAAGTTTTTTATGAGAAGTGTAAAATGTGCTACTGGGTCTAAAGGCTGTCTGTCTTGTAAAGTGAAGCAGAGAGAAGGAGAGAAAATCACATATGTGGGTCAGGACCTGATTATACTACACCATACACCATCTGCTATATTTACTGTCTATAGGCCCAAAGATCAGGTCACACAGGCTAACGTGCTATCAAATATTTACTTTTGGGTACTGCAGTGAAGTTTAGGTTAACATGTAAAAGCCTCATTTATATTTAGTTTATTTAAATGCTCAGTTTTTGTTTGTTACTTCTGTATAATTTTGAGATGTAATATTCAGATGAGGGGAATGAATTTTGACATTTGTAATACATAATTTTAGTCACACAAACAGACAGAACAGACCTCACTCCCCCTTCTTCTTCTTCTTCCCTCGTAGCCTTTTACAGTGGTAAGAGCAGCTGGACTGAAAGGGCTTAGCACCTGTGGCTGTGAATGCTCTCACCTCACAGCCACATGGATTCCTGGTTCGACTCCCAGGTCACTCAGACCTTTCAGAAGTCAGAAGTTTGCATGTTTGTTCTCATGGGTGTGTTTCTCCATTTGACCACAACATGCACAATAAAAGTGGGTAAACAAAATCCCATGAAGTTCTTGTAAGAGAAGTACAATATTAGTGTTAGTTGATAAGAATAGTTTCTGTAGTCATGGAACTAGGCTGTAATAGCTTGGCTTAGGCCTGTCACAATAATTACTGTATTGAGAGATTTTTTTTTTTTTTTTTGCAAAAGCTGGAAGATTTGGAGTATTAAACAGAATTACATTTGAGCTATAAAAGGTTGGCGAATCATTGGTACATTCTGTTATTTATTTGTTGCAGTTTATGCGACTGAATGATACTGTCTATTTCAAAATTGTTTACTGGGATTATCCTGCATTATTGTTGTTGTGTCAGTGGCATAAAGTAGCTTCAGTATTATTGTTTATCACACTGTATCTGTGTAGTTTCAAATTTTGTTATCAGTCCAAGCATGATTTTCCTTTTTCGAGCCAAAAACAATGCTTATGTACCCATTTCTACTGTATCAATATTTTATCTATGACAGATTTGAAAGCAGCCAATGCATGTGACGCTGTGACGAAGATACAGTCTCTGCTTTGGCACATGTGACGGGAGAAACTCTCGTTCACTAGATTCTGTTACCCTCACTGGGCTGAGCTGCTGGGGGCAGGAGGGGCAGATCCAGTTACTGCATGGGGCAAAATGTGTGTTGAGAGCTTGAGTGAGTGGGATAACAACTGTCTTCAATACCCTGTCTGCCAAGTCACATACACAAGCTATACACATTTTGGTATAGTAGTAGTAGTAGTAGTATGCCAACTCATGTTTTTATTTCTTAGAAGTTATTATAAAACTTGAATCATTTCCCCACTGTTACTACTACTACTTTTACTACTATTACTAGGCTTGTAACTGTATAAATATAAATGTAACTCTAAATTTATCTATGTAATCCATTTAAATTACACATTTGCCAGCAGTATTATCCTTTTATATGAATGGCTTCTGATATGTTTGATATGTGATAAACTTTCACCGACCACAATAATGTAACACAATAGACCATTTATCAAGAATAGTTTTAGTTAGTGTGTTATCTCTTTGTACATATTGTTTGTACCTTGTGCATGATTAAACTAAACGCTGACAAGAGTCCAAGTGTTCTAAAATATAAAACTCAAACACTGATCAACTGGCAAGCCTCTGAAAGTCCTGTCAAAGAAACACTATACAGGCAATAATAAAAAAAAAAATTAGCAAGGTTTTTTCTTCCTTTTCTGTGCAATAATTAGCCAAGTTTTTTCCCATTCCTAGATTTTTTCCCAAATCAAATTTCAAAGGTCACTGGGCAAACTGTGGTCACATATTTACTCGATGCATGTAGCAACACACGTTTTCTGGGACGGAATTGGTCAGTTATTTAATTTAAAGCTCCAGACCAGCCAATCAGCGTGATCCGTGGAGGCGCGCTGTGATTGGTCCAACCCTCCTGTCAGCTGAGCGCAGGGTATAAAAGACCCGCAGGAGAGTCTGGGGCGCGTGTTCGTGCGTGCGTCTGTTTGTCAGTGTTTGTGGAAGAGGCAGTGCGTGTGTCTGCGTTTATTTATGGAAACCCGATTAAACTAAAGCACTAAATAATATTTAAGGTAGGTGCATTCAGCCTAGTGACATTAATTTGGGCGTGAACATGATTTGAAAGTTATTTTGTTAATGATTACCCCGCTGTGGCTCCTGTTTCCGTCCTGACTCGGCTTTTTGAATGTCGCTTGGAGTTTGGTTGATGTTGACGCTACCGCTGCTACTTTTGTTCACAGGCAGCTTCGTTTAAAGCAGAAAAAAACAACTCAATCCCAAAGAAGTAGACTGCCACCATGGTCGCCACAAGCACATTAAAGACCAAGAGCGGCGAGTGTATCTCTGAGCTGGTTGAACGGCGGTATGACCAGGCGTGCATTGAAAAAGGTGAGCGTTTGTACACACAAGTAGTGGGTCTTTAAGCCCGAGGTGCGCTTGTTTATGTCTGTGTGGTGCAGGGCTGCAGCGGAGCAGGAGGGAGGGGCGGGCGGCTGGAGATGAAGTCATATTTAGCCTCTGCACAGCATCAGGCCATCTGCTTAAAATGGCATGTTTTATATTAAATGCATCACTATGATATAATGCACTTATGCATGTATGACTGCTTACAATAACAAGAAAAGCAACTTGTGTCCCATAATGTTTTATTTTCTATATTAATCTTGTGAGTTGTTGTAGCATTACATGGCACTGTAAGTAGGTCTGACAGTTATGTTATTGTCTTTTTTGCAGAGCTGGACTTCTGGGAGCGCTGCCTGGCGGAGCCGGAAAGGACGGCAGATGTAACTGAGGACAGGACCTGTCAGCAGCTAGCTAAGATGTTTGAGAGCTGTTTGTCCCGCTCTAAAAAGACTGCGCTGCACTGCTCATCTGTGCTGGTGCCGGAGCGTCTGACGTGGAGAATCGCGCGGGAGGTTGTGAGGCTGGCCTCATGTGAGCCCTGTGGTCTGAGGGGATGTGTGCTCTATGTTCACCTGGAGCTGGACAAAGGCGTGAAGCGACTGGATCGCATCGTGTACGACGCCTCAGTGGTGCCAACCTTTGAGCTGACTCTTGTGTTTAAACAAGATGGCACAGCCTGGCCCAGCCTCAGAGACTTCCTCTTCATGGGCACATGCTTCGCCCCTTCGTTTAGGCACGCACTCAAACTGAGTCCAGGATTCCGATTGGTCAAAAAGAAGCTGTACTCCTCCGCGGCTGGCACCGTGATCGAGGAGTGCTGAACTATGGGGACAAGACTTTATTTTTGTGTGCACTTATTCCACCCAAATCTGACACTCCTGTGTCTCCTTTTCTACTCTGCTTTTGTACATGCTTTTTCATTGAACACTCTGAGCTGCTCAAGCCATACTTCATGTGTTCACCTGGGACTGATGTCAGAGTTTGTGCGAGCATAGGCCTGACATCTGTGGGTTTGGTGAAGTGCAGTTATTGACTTCAGATTGTTTACACAATTTGAACTGATACATTTTGCAGATGAATGTAGAGCCACGTTTGACTTTATTTGGGAGCGATTTGCTTTTAGTGGGTACACGTTAAACACTAGCCACTTTGTTTTACATGAGCGTTAAAGCACACTGTTTGACTGGCTGGCTGATTGGACAGCAGTCAGTGGGGCCATATGTAGCAGTGTTGGGGCTAAGGAGATTCCTGCGCCCTGAATGTATAATTGTTTTTTGTATGGGGAATGAATGCCTTAAATTTAATAGAAACATATTGACCTCTGAGATTACATGTGCAATCCTAACTTTTATCTTTTTTATAGCCTACTATATAACTTCATCTGCACCTTTTAGACAATTAGAACAGATTGCCTGAAACTTAAGGTTTTATCAAAACTATGACTGGATATCCATGTTGTTTGTGAGTGTTGTCTCTTCTCAATTTTGCAAACTTTTTGACCATAAAGCAGTTTTTGTCTACTAGACAATAAAATATTTAAATCCTAACTCAGTGAAATGTGCTTTTTTTCTTCACTCTGGACACATTATTGTAGCAACTGGTAGATTATGTTACAAGGGCTGCAGTCAGTCCCTGAAACCTCATGCAATACCTTTTTATCTACTCTTCAGAATTTAGTGATTTATTTGACAAAGTGTGTAAAATTTGCATTCTGAACACAACAGACCTGTGTGCAGAGGGGGCATGACCTTTGAGAGTAAGGTGAGCGTGCAAGGTCTATAGTTTGTGTGGCATTTCTCACTATCTTTAATGAACACGTCTCCTGGTGATTTTTCATAAGCCAAACAAATAAACCCAACATACATTTACAGCTCATTGTAAAATCTTAATATTTCCAAGTATAGCTCACAATAACCTCACAAGTTGTACTATTCTGAGGTGACCGCTGTTTACTAGTTACACAGTTGAGTCATTCATGCACAGGCTGCAGACTGACACAGATACAGTGGGGTCATGTGATGTTTCATTTCATTGTGAAGGGACAAAGCTGTGGTGTCCTGTCACTCCCTTTGCTGCTGTTCTGCTGTAAACAGCACAGAAACTGTTACAATGTACTTTAACAAGAAGCAAATCTGTGGTCTGCAACTTAGTGTTCAAGGACAAATTATTAATAATGTACCAGAAGTTAAATATTTAGGCCTGTATTTGGATTCAGCTCTATATGATAAACAAATTAAATATCTAAAGTAAAGTTATGAAATTTAATATTGTAAACTTCAGGCATACTCAAAACTCCCTAAACATGCCATGATTTTTTCTCACTTACATTATTGCTTAGTTTGTTGGTCATAAACAGGAAAGACCTAAAAAAAAATTGAGACTCTTTTTAAGCATGTTAAACTTTGACAATATGATTTTTTAATTCTGATATGCTGCTGCTCCATAGAGTTCTCCACCATGCCGCTCCCCCTCCTTTAAAAGGCTTCTTCCAGTTAAGATCAAAACAGATGAGTAGAACATCTCGCTCATCTGTAAATTCTGATCTGACCGTTCCCTTTTAAACGTACTGTGATGGGACAGTCGACAGCAAAAAACTGGAACACGCCTCCAGCTGATCTTAAAACTTGCACATACTCCCATACTTTCTGTCAGGGGCTAAAATAATGTTTTTTGAGCAGCAGGCGTGTCAACATTAGGCTTCTTCAAACATTTAAACATTCCAGTTGATTGTACTATAAATGTATTGTGCAGCGGTAGATGTATTGACATTTGTCTTCATGTTAATGTTGTTGATTAATTGTATTTTAGAGGGTTATAATACTGATGAATTTGGTAACTGCACATTTTAGAGGATACTGATGACAAAAATTTTGAGTATTTTAACAAGATAATGATTTAACGTCTTGTATTTATGGAAATTACAATTAATACATTTAGATTGCTTTTTAAATGTTTAATGATGAGCTGGATTGTAGTTATTTTAAGGAGACACTGTTACTGATTAAATGTTGTTGTTAGAGTTGGTCTAATGTAAATATTTTCTTTAATGTATTTTTACCTGCCCAAGGACAGCAGATGGAAAGTAGTTTGTAGCTAAATCTGGCGCAGAGCATCTTTTTTGTCTGAGATTAATGTTTTCTGTGCACTGTCCTTGCTTTAAATAAATAAATAAATAAATAAAAACACTCACAAGAGGATTGCATCAGTTTTCCCAAAGGTCATTGCATGTAATTCTGTACCATGCCATGGAAAAGTATCAAAGGGTTAGAGTGACCTGACTTGGACACCATTTTGCCTAAGCGCATGAATTTACAGTGGAGACATTAGACCCTTCTGTCAACATGTATTTACTGCAAAGAGTGGTCCCAACACCTGTACCAATACTGCATTTCAAATACGTAATGAGTGGCTCTATATTTTATGATCTGGCAACTATTTAATGTCAGATATGCTTGCAATATGACTGGAGTTGGCCGTATGGGTGAAGTGTCTTCCAACTGCTGTTCTCCTCTTGGCAAACGAACTAACCTCTCTCTGGGAACAAGGAAATCTGATGAACTAGGTCAGATGGAAACAGCTTCCTTATTTGTTGGAAGCTGTGAACACATTTCAAACTGGAGATTTTTACCAATTAATTTTACTTGGTTTATTTTTTTCTGCATGTCAAAATTAAGAATCAAGATTACTTCATTTGTCCTGAGGGAAATTTATCTTGGACACAGGCTGCACACTGAATAACACTCCTCAAACAGACACTGAAAATGACACTGGGTCCATATACCAACAACATCCTAAAACATACAAGGGTGATCATATACAATTTAAAACATGCTTTCTTAGTAAATCCTTAAAATTGAAATCTTATTTACGTATTTCATCTTTCATAACATGGTGGTAATATAATACAAATGGGTACCACATACCACAGAGGTACAGAGGGAGGAGATGTGTGGCAATCTTTCCATGAACACTGAGCTACTTTTAATTGCCACACTATAAATTCATTCTTTGACCTGTTTATTGAAGATTGCGTAAGGTTTTGGCACTCCGCAAGTGTGTACAGTTTTCAGATGACCAGACCTACAAATAATTACCTAATCTTTGGTGGTGTGGTGTGATGCTAATTCTATGTTCTGCTTTGTATGACTCTCTGCTGCTCAAGTTAGACTTTAATCTGAACTTTAATTTAACACTATCTGACCAGAACGAGGTGACAGTCCAACAAGGTCCATTTGGTCTTCCGATAATTTATGTTATTAGGTTCTTTTTTTCAGACCAAGAGTTTGTCTTCATACATGACACTTTCGACTGCTCACTAGCAGTCTTCCTCAGAGTGGTCAAGTGATGCTACTGGGGACGAGGGCGCTTTTTTACTCTCACACACCTGGGATACTGTCCTGAGGAAGTTGGACTGCAGATGGCGCTGTTGTCCTGCCTCCACTGGTAGGAAGACAGTGCCAAAACCTGTATAAATCAGCTCACTGGACACGTCACAGTAACATTACGTGATCACTCTGAAGAAGACCGCTAACTCGAAACTGTCATGTATGAAAACAAACTCTTGGTCTGAAAAAAGAACCTAATAACATAAGAGGTGACTTAGTTGGAACCACAACAGGTGATCTGATTTTGTGCTGTTAAACAATGTCTCACAGATGGAATTACAGTCACAAGCTGGAAAGTGTTCAGTCTGTCATTCTCATATTTTAGTTGAAAATTAAATACCAAACAAGACCATGAATGCTCGTATTGGTCATCTTGAGTTTTCATACTATCTTAAACTATTACTTGACAGTGTTTACTAATGCATACAGTATGTCTCCATGGTAGCTGCTGAACATTCTACCACAGAGATACATGTAGAGCACCTCAGTGTGATGTCACTGCAAAGTATCAATCTGTCCTCGCCATCTTATAATCTCTGTATCAAGAAATAGCCTAGACACATTCCAACATTGCGCCCAACATGTTATAACTATTGACCGGAACACTTTGCTGTCAGTTACTTTTAAAAACTTGTGTAAGCAAATATCCGAGTCACACGCACATGTTTATCAGCAGCAGTGTAATTCCCAAAATAAGAGGTATTTTAGGATGTTGCTATGCTATATGCAGCCCAAGTGTTACTATAGTCACTCATGTTGACCTTGGAGGGACCCTTTACTTCAGATGTGGATTTCATCTCTGACAGCTGTGGTGCCACACTGTCTGTTTTGGTATATTCAGAATGCGCTGGGCAAAACCTCATTTAAATAGCTAATGATATTACTTGAATAGAAAACAAGTAGGTCAATGATGATGTTGCAAAACGTGAAACAGACACTTAATTATATCACTCAGACGGCCTATTCAAAGACGTGTAGCTGAGGTTTCTTTGTGTGACAGAGCGGGGGAGGTGAAGTGGCCTTCCTCAGCCTCGTCAACATCATTATGACTGTTTTATTATTAGGCCCACTTAAACTTCAGCCAGTGCACAGCATCTCACTTCACATACTGTATATATATATCAACACGGCATCTTGGAGCAATATATGTTATGGGTTGCATTTCTTCCCTGTGTTTTCTTATTGTAGGTCAGATGCTCTTTATGTTATTGAGCTGTTTGGGAGTTTTGTTTTGTTTCATTCACACAACTTTAACACACAAACCCTGCACATTTAGGCCAAGTTCATTTCTCATATGAAAAAACACTATTCCACCTTGTCCTGCCATATGGTAATACAAGAAGTGCTCCACTGTTGTTGTTGTTGTTTTTTTAACCCATATATCTTCACTAGAATAATGGATGATTTCAGCCCTATAATTGCCAGTCTCCGCCGACTTCAAGGTAAAAGGTAGCTGTTAACTTGAAAAAGCTTCATGACATCAAAGGTGGAAAAGAGCATTTTACACTTTGGAGATGTAGGCAAATATGTTTTTGATCAGGTAACAACAATATAACATGGCTTAATGGAATAACTTATGTTGTGTACATTTTGGCATGGTGAGCAAAACATCACATAAAATAGCTAAAAAATATAGATGTTACTGTATTATTATAAAAGCATTAACTGGCTGGACTAAAATCTAACTAAAAATTACTTCATTACTTTTACATTTATATCAAACCGTCCAATATTTTAGGTGTAGGAGAAATTTATGGTGTTACAGAAAAACAAACAAACAACGACTACAATAATAATAATAATAATAATAATAATGATGATGATGATGATGATGATGATGATGATAATAATAATATAATAATATATAATAATAATAATAATAATAATAATAATTAAAGCCGCGCGCGGCGATGGTGGCCCTCGCCCCGCGCCCCCTGGCGAATGCCGGGGACTCGCGACCGCCCCGACACACCGCTCTCTCTTCCCGACAGCTCTCGAGGCCAACAGCTCATCCACCAGAAAAATGACATAGTGTACCTTTAAAATTGGATAAAGTGAATGATTCTAGAGACAAACTGTAGACACTAAGCCACAGGTCACGTGACTTTAATGGTCAAGAGCACTGTCACACTAAGGTCGTTTTCACACCGCTAGTTCGATTATTTGGTTCGCACCAGGCAATAAAATTGTTATTATGTAGCAAATACACTCCAGTGTGATCCGCGTTCACACCGGCAAACGAACCAAAACTGGTTCGATTGACTCTGTTTCCCCGGTAAAACAGCGATACTCCAGTTATCAACACCGATGTTCCTGTTAATACCACGGGCCGTCCTCATCTCAAATTATCACCATGAACTCATAAAACAGCAACATGTAGAACTTTGTACAAACTCACCGCATCAGCCCAGAGTTCGGGTAACAGCAGCAGCCAACAGCTCCTCAGGACGGGGCTGGGGTCTGGTCCTTGGTCTTCTGTTACAAGCTCGTTGGTCAGATGGTCCGGAGGCTCTGTCCTCCATGTGCTGGTTCCAAACGGTGGCGAGCAAGACCAGTGCTTGATGGACTGAGTCCGAGCGGGTAACTTTCAGTCGTCTGCGCGCTGTTTCCGTGCGGGAAAAGCAAGAATGCGCTGTGGACTACAGGTCCGGGTGGGCTGCTCCGGTTCTCCGCGCTCAAGAACCGCGGCTGGTTCCAAAACTGTCGTGTGAAAAACCCGAAACACCTCCACCAGTGTTACATAGTGCTTTTAAATTTTCAAAGTGAAATTATTCTAGAGGCAAAGTGGTCAAAACGGGATTCTTACTGACTTTTATGATGAGGAGTACGTCATGAGTTTTGCAAAGTTTCAAATGACAGTGTAAAACAACTTTATGGTCACACAATCAATAAATTGTGTGCATTCATATAGGTGGCGCGTGACCCTGATAACACTGTTATTTGGCAATAATCAAATGGAACAAGGGTCATGCAGTGGTGTATAGACTGATAGAAAAACTGTCATTTCACCAATCGGTGATAAACATGTGTCATATAAAGTCAATTTTTACAATGGATTCTTTGGGGGGTTCTCTTGCTTGCCCCTGCTGGCCAAACGTTTTGGAAAAATGACACCATGACTGTAATAGAACCATTTTTGCTTATAAATCATGCAAAGAATTTATTCCCCGAATTTGGTCCAAGTCCGATAATGTTGACAATTTCATGTCTAAAGGGGGCACTGTTCACACCAAATGCGTCAAAAAAACGCCATGACGCCTCTATTTGGACGCGTTTGCATTTGAGTTTAGAATTCTTTGACGCCGTGAACAAACCAAAAATAACTTTGACCGCGTCCGTGCAAACAAAAGCCCAGTGGTCTTTAAACAATTTAAGAGAGTGTTTTATGACATAAAACATCAGGACAATTAATGTGGCCATGACAGGTCACCGAAAAAACAGGAAATGAAGGCGTTATTCGCCGGCGTGCTACGGGCGAACCGTAAGAAGTATCCCAAAAAAAATTGCCAACTTCTGTGAGTTCATGTCTGTAGATGTGACATGTCAAATCTGAGCTCATTTGGACCAAACCCCGGGGACTTGAATCTTTTTGTAGACCCCCAAGTCAAAACGGCGGCGAATGTTTGATCCAATATGGCCGACTTCCTGTTCGTCATAGGGTCATGCTCCAATTCATCTTTTGGCTTGTCTCATTGTTCTCTATCACTGTCCCGAATTTCGTTTCCCTGCGACAAACTTTGCCTGTCCCCACTCCCATAGGGGTCCAATTCTAGGCGGCGCTGTTGAGTCGGGTCACTCGGGTCATTGTTGCGATGCCCATTTTATCGAATTTTTCGCCGGGCCGATCGATCTGGACCCGGTTTGGGGACTTTTCGTCGATGTTCAGGGGGTCAAAAATGCGATTCAATGTGGGGAAAAAGAAAAAAAAAAAGAAACCGACGAAGAACAATACCCCTCGCCCCTAACTTTGTTAGTGGCGAGGGCCAATAAAGACCACAACAGCAACAACAAAAACCTCGTAAATAAATAATATGTGTTTACGGTAGCCCGGATGGTTCAACATTTGTGTACTGTCGTCGCTATGGTAACACAGCACCGATCGAAGCTGGAGCTGAACGAGCTTTTTACAACAAACGAGGCTTCCCATGTTTAAGATAACATTTTACTCTTATTCTGTATGTTAAAAGTTGAACAAGAATGGCGCCAAAACCAGCAAAAGGCTCAGCTATAAGAGATGCGGGAAACAAGAACTGGGAGGCAGCTCTGACAAGTGAACACTTTGAAGAGGTTTGTTCAGCTTTAGTTCACAGTTAATATTTAGTAACTTTATCAATGAATTAAAATGTATTTCTGGGCGTGTTTAAGACTTTTTTGTATAATTTTATCTTTCTGGTTATTGTAAAAAAACAGGTGCCTTACCTCTAGCTGTGAACTGCTCATAGCATTAGCATGTTGTTGTTATTATGGAACGTAAGCTTTTGTTATTATATCTTAAGTGTTTGTCGCAATGAGCAAAAGTTTTATGGTGTTAAATTAATCTCCTAAGAGAAATTATTTATTGACCATCACTAGATTTGAAAATAATGACATCTTGTGGTAAAATAGTAAACTGCACTTGTTTTGAAAGATGGCTGCTATGAGTTATGGTGTTATCTGTGTAACAATCCAGTCCACTTTATTTATATAGCTCATTTCATAAACAAAACTGTTACCAAAATGCTGCACAAAACAAATAAAACGTATCTAACAGAAGTATAAAATAAAGCTCTACTTAACTTCACTAGTCCTCGTTAAGACAATAAAAATAGTAAAATCATATAAGAGCAAGAATATCAATAAATAAGAAAAGGGTAAAAAACATAAAAATAAAATAAAAGACACAGATGACCACTCAACTCATGCAGTGTTAAAAGCCAGAGTGGGTCTTAAGATGAGACTTAAAACTCTCTATTGTGGGGCTGTTTGGACGAGTACTGTCATATTTGTTTATTTTTATGCATGCATGCTTTGTCGTGTTCATTCCAGGATTCATGGAAGGCCTGTGTGTCTCTGGTGGTGGAGACTTCCCCAAAGGTTGAAGTATTGATCGCAGCACTCTCTGCAGCTGTGCAAAAACCACTGCGGAAACTTTTCTCACTCTTGACCTGGGACGACACCCAAGCTAAGGTTCTCAATATTTGTACTTAAAAGTTCACTATACATATTGTTTGTTGGAGGGTCACCTGTTTGTCTCATAATTATGTTTAGTTTTTCCTTGAATGTTCCGCAATATGGCATTAAAGGTACTTGTCCTGCTTTATTTATTGGTCTTTTTAATGCCAAATAATACTTGCTTCAGACCCTCCATCTAAAAATGACTCAGTGCACCTTTTATATGTTTTGCTGTATTATGATGTTGTTTATAACATGTTGTTACAAAATCACAGATTCATGAATTTGGTAATCCCAAGAATAAGAAACGTGATAATGTACTCAAGTTCTCTGAGGTAAAATTTTCATAGATACATTGTTTTGTTTTTTTAAATTATTAATTTTACTTTGATCTGATTGTGTTGCCAGGTTACAGAACCAGCAAAGATGCTACTAGATGCCGGGGAGGAGATTCCCGTAGATCTTCTGGCAAAACTAGTAAAATTTCAATTGCTGCAAATTAAAATCAATGATCAGCAGAGAAGACAAGCTGAAATGGCAAGTACACAACCAAATATTTACTATTAATGTACATTACAAGAAGATTTTGAATAACATTTTAATATTTTTTTTCTTCAAGGTTAAACCTTCAGAGGAGAAGGCCAGAGAGCCTCCTCGCTCTGCTACTAGAGATAAAGATAAAGGAAACGGTAAAGACAAGAAGGGAAAGCCACCCTCTCCTGTACTGGAGAAAAAGACCAAGCTAAAACGCAGGGATGAAGTGGACCTTCCTAACTATATTGGTAACAAGTCACACATTACTATGCTTAAAACAATACTTCACAATTGTTTTATATTATGTCTTTTTCTGTTTTGTGACTAAAGATGATGAGCCGGATGATGGTCCCCAGCATTACATCCTGATAGTGGGTTTTTATCACCCACATTTGTTTAGAGCACTTGATTCCATAGGCGTACAGATATCCAATGTCATTAAATTATCACAAGAGACAAAAGAGCAACAGACTACTCAGAGCAACAAGGAAACTGAAGACATACCTATAAAGGACACAGGTGGATACAAAGTTTGATGAAAGGAGGGGAAATTCTAATATCAGTATTAGTTTAAAATTGTGTTTTTTTTTCTATAGAAAATGAAGATGAAGTTTGCAGGATGAGGCTTGCTGCTCAGACCAAGAGGTTGGATGACTTCTGGTCTGGTCTGCGCTCTCATTTAGATGGTGGACCTCCTCACTCAAAGCTCCATGATGTGGCTGAACTCAGCTACAGCACCAGTCTCTCCTCTGTCAATATAAAAGAGCCAGAAGCTATGGTAAAGTTCAGAATGTTCAGAATGTTCTTTGTGTGAATATTTTTTTTTTGTTTTATTTGTTATATGTTTTGTTTTTCTCTTCACAGCTAACCTTTGGAAGCAGTATTTTTGAAGGTGTAGCATGTCTCATCTATGACACTCTGGACTGGCGTAGGCAGCATCAGCGCTATCTGGACAACTTGAAAATTATTGATGTGCCCAAACTGACCACACCAGACCCACAGCCCGTTGACGTATGATTTTACAGTTAATACAGATAATATATGTATTTTTCATTCTATACACTAAAAGTCCAAATATTGCTTTTTTAGCCAGTAGTGTCCACCCCTCTCGACCGCTCTAAAAAGAAACTAGCACATGAAGACAGCCTTTTAACACAAGGTATAATTATCTATATGGTATGTAAAATGCATATAACACAATAATATCCAATGTTATTTACAATCAAATTTTTTGTCTAGAAACTAAGGCACTCACTACTGATGTTGACATGTCTCACTACACCAAACTACTGGACACAGTTCCTCCTGAAGCCTGCTCTGTCCCCCTTGTGTTACACTGCATACTCGAACAGGTCTGTCTATAATGTGATAGGATAAGGTTGACTATTTGAAGAGAGAATTTTTATTAAGTTGATTTGTGCTTTTAGGTTGTTTTGACTTCAGACCCACCTGCTCCTGCTCCCTCTGAAGACAAAGAAGAATCTACAGATTATAAAGGCCCATTCTTAGACCAGCAGTTGGTCAGCTGCATGCTCCATGAATTCCTTCCTCTAGTTTACACAGAAAATGAGAAAAGCCACTTGCTGAACAGTTTGATTGCCATGGTGACTACAAATGAGAATAAAAAAGTAAGAACTCAGTACCACGTGCAGAAAGGAATTATAGGATATATGCAAAAATTGGTACCCGTAGCATTGGTGGTTCAGTGGTAGAATTCTCGCCTGCCACGCGGGAGGCCCGGGTTCGATTCCCGGCCAATGCACATTCCCTTTTTCCTCGATGGGGTCTGTCTGCACATGCTCAGATCGCATTTCCCGGAGGTCAAGGTGATGGAGTCAACGCGTTGCCAAAAATGTTTGAACAGCAGCTGTGTGAATAGTTAAGAGCTATTTCAACGCAAGACAATATGAGACACAGAGCTGCAGAGCGGGGGATGTGCCGTGGGAGGGGGATCGCCTTTTACAGATCACGTGAGACCACATGACCTAGAGGGGGAGGGGTGTGCAGAGAGTGCACTGGTTTAAATTAATTAAATTTTAATTCAACAACAAACAATACAACAACTCAAAAGTCAGAACAAAACAAGTAATATATGTATGAATTTCATTTACAAAAATATGCAATTATCATAGAATTATTTATTTTTCTATGCATTTACAAAAATGTCCACCAGATGGTGCTGTAACCACAATATAAATACTGCATTAATACTCACATAATGTATTTTTTCTTAGAGACTTTTGGAGCAGTATGGGACAAATGACGAGAAAGCGACAGATCCTCAGGTTTTCAGACATCATGATGAAAGGGCCCTACGCTTGAGGAACTGCAAAGTATTCTTCTGCTTCTGTTTTGCTTTTTTAAGATACCTACACTGCTTAAGATCTAATTACACATCATGTTTCACCTTAGGCCGTGGAGAAGTTTAATCCTATGGAGGCGGAGGAGAACATGCTGAGGTTGTCTCCAGTGTTTAACCTGATCCAGTCTGTGTCTCAGCAGAAGAATGCCTTCTGCTGGATGGCCATCAAACAGCAACTACAATACTACTGCACTAATGGTTTGTATTACTTATTTCTGTATTTGTTTTCTTGACTTGTCAAATTTCTAAACTTATAATCTTATATGATACTTTAACCCCACACAGATGTTGTCCCATGGCCCGATGTGGAGCGCTTGTTTGACCAGAGTGTGTTTGAGAGCATGCCCCTGACTCAGCTGGACCAGAGGGGAGTGCTGCTGAAACCCAATCAACCGCTGGACTCATTAGGATCAAGACAAGACTCCACAACCGCAATACCCTGGGACGACCCGCTGTCTTTTGCTAAACAACAGCTCTGGCAGCTGCAAAACCTAGGTCTTCAAAATTCCTAACAACTGAATAGAAATAAAAAATGCAGATAAATATATGAATGTTTTGTAATTGTGCAATGACTTTAGTCATTTTTACATCTGTCTCCTTCTAGGTCCAGCATTTGTGACTGAATATCTGACTAACACAGAGGTATTTGATTGTTGATATCTGTAATATACATAATTAATATAGTATTAATTTGTTCTTATTTTTTGCTGTTGTTAAGGTCAATAAAGATGTCCCCATTCATCTGAAGCTATCTGACATTCAAAGTTGCAGACATAGATCATTATTTGACTGGCACTATACTGAACACCACAATGCTGCCATATTTCCTCAGGTAACAAATGCAAATGTTCTTCATATTTTTGTTTGAATAATTGAAAATAATTGATCAGTATCTTTGTGTAGGTTCTTCAAGAAGCCTCAGAGCAATATCTCTGCTTAGACACTTTTCAGGGAAGTAATAAAAATATTCTGTACATTTATTGTCACAATCTGATGAACAAGAATCGCCAATTCAAGGAGTCATGGGATGTAACTCTACACACAAATGTCAAGTTCAGGTTAGAATTTAACTACCACTTTCTTTTATTGTTTAACTAATATATCATATTATCTGATTATTTATTATTTATGGTTTTTTTTTAAAGAAAATATCTAGAAAATGTTGCAGATAGAATTTCTGAATGGACAAGGGAGGAGGAGGCTAAGAGAGAGGCAATGATGAATAAAACTGTTGCAACAACAAAAGGTACTTACCCATAAACGGTATTAGGATAAATATACAAATCCGTGTATCATTCGTTTTTCAATATAAAACTAAAAATAAGAAAACGAAAAAACAACAGTTTTCTTCGTTATTTGTCTCCAAAACCAAAATGAAAAAACGGATAACGATTCGTTTTTTTCAGTTTTCGATTTTGTGTTTAAATGAAGAATGGAAAAAACGGATAACGGCCGTTTCCCGTTTACGTGACTTCCGTGACTGCGATACCGAACTTTTGCACCGGGTACGTACTGAACTAGGACTGATCCAGGTCCGAGACCAGATCGAGACCAGAGCGGGACTGAGACCGGGACCAGACCAGGACCAGAGCGGGACTGAGACCGGGACCAGGGCGGGACCAGGGCGGACTCCGAGCTTTGACTCCGAGTCTCCACGGGGTCCGAGCCTCAGCTTCGAGCTCCTGTCCTGCCGTGGGCTCTGAGCCTCCGGTCTGGTCCCGGTCTTGTCTCGGTCTCGGTCTCGGTCTCAGGCCCGCTCTGGTCCCGGTCTGGTCCTGGTCTGGTCCCGGTCTCAGTCCCGCTCTGGTCCTGGTCTGGTCCCGGTCTCAGTCCCGCTCTGGTCCTGGTCTGGTCCCAGTCTCAGTAGCGCTTTGGTCCCGGTCTAGTCCCGGACCTGGTCCATTTGAACCAAAAGCTCTTAGTTTGATTCATTTTCATTGGTGTGAATGCGTCAGTCGGAGGCTTTGCACCACCTCGGATCCAGCCGCGGTTCTTGAGCACAGAGGACCAGAGCAGCTCTGTCCCGGTCTCAGTCCTGCTCTGGTCCCGGTCTGGTCTCGGACCTGGATCCGTCCTGATTCAGTCCGTATGCGGTGAGACTGGGACCAGACCGGGACCAGAGCGGGCCTGAGACCGAGACCGAGACAAGACCAGGACCAGACCGGGACCAGACCGGAGGCTCAGAGCCCACGGCAGGGCCGGAGCTCGAAGCTGAGGCTCGGACCCCGTGGAGGCTCGGAGTCAAAACTGGGAGTCCGCCCTGGTCCCGCTCTGGTCCCTGTCTGGTCCCGGTGTGGTCTCGGTCTCAGTCCCGCTCTGGTCCCGGTCTGGTCCCGGTCTCAGTCCGTACCCGGTGCAAAAGTTCGGCATTGCAGTCACGGAAGTCACGTAAACGGGAAACGGCCGTTATCCGTTTTTTCCATTCTTCATTTAAACACAAAATCGAAAACTGAAAAAACGAATCGTTATCCGTTTTTTCATTTTGGTTTTGGAGACAAATAACGAAGAAAACTGTTGTTTTTTCGTTTTCTTATTTTTGGTTTTATATTGAAAAACGAATGAACGAATGATACACGGATTTATACAGTCTATGGTACTTGCACTTGTTATTGACAAATAATCAAAACAAGTAATCAAAACAAATCTTATTTTGTTAGTGGAGGACATAGCACCAACTCCAATCGATAATGTGCAGGAGCCACTCATCAGAAAAGAATCTCTCAAAGTCAGTATCGCGCAAAACTACAATATGTCTATGTTTAATTTATGACAGTAATTCACTGCGTGATTGTTAACACAGGCATGGAAGCTGGAACAAGACAGGCTTAAAGAAGAGGAGTTAGCCAAAAAAAACAAGAAAGAGCCAGTACAGAAGGACAAACAGGCAAAAGAGGAGACCGCTGCTAAGGACAAGAAGCAAAAGAAAGCTCCAGAAATTGCGAAGAAGGGCAGAGTGGACACAGCCAGTTCAGCCAAGACACTCACCGACTCCATAAAAGTGGAGGAAAATAGAGAAACCAAGGAAACACAAGAAGAGTTTAATGTGAGATAGTATAATTATATTGCCAATGACACGTGCTGTTTTGTAGGTGACTCCAAAATGACTAATGTGTGAATTACAGGGGTTTATAGGTTATGACATGGATGGAAAGTTGATTCATGTTTCAGGAAATCTTCATCATCTTTACCCCTCAGATGGAGGATGCATCATTGTTGAGACTGCCAGCTATGTTGAAGGTATGAATAGTGGCAATGGTGAAAAATCACTTAAAGCGGCCAATATTTTCTAATCTATGTTATACTGTTGTTTTCTCATCAAAAAGATACATGAAGTTGTGTTTTGTTTCACTCACACATGTTTAACACATAAATTATACATATTTAGGCTGAGTCTGTTCCATCTTGTAATGTCATTGGATGATTTCAGCCCTGGAATTGCCGATCTCTACTAAACAATAGGTAAAAGGTCGCTGTTAATTTGAAAACTACCACTATATGACATCACAAGTTGGAAAAGAGCATTTTTAGCATTGGAGATGTAGACTAATAATAAAGGATTACTCAAACCTGTGTGAATGAAACAAAATACAACTCCAGGTATGTTTTTGAGAAGGTAACAGCATTATAACATGACTTAAAACTCACAAGAATGAATTTTGAATAATAATTTATATTACAGTATTGTATTTTATATTACAGTTATACAATTTTGTGACAATATTTTACATTTACTTGACAACTCTTAAAATGAATGGGCTGCAGCTAACAACTATTTTGCATTTTGCCAAGTGATTTTAAAAATTTTGATTGATTACAAAATTAGTTGCTGATTATTCCTGTTATCCACTATTCATCTGTCTATCCACTGTTAGCCCCAGCTTGTCAATTTAGGTCATAGCCATCTCCTGTTCTTTTTACTGCAGGTTCCAGTCTCATGAAAGTTGCTGTTAAAAAGGACGGCCATAGTTTCTACACACATATAAGCCACATTATTGAAGAGTTGACCCCAGCCCCTCAGCATACTCAACCCAACGAGCCCATTACACCCAAGGAGGAAAACAAAAGTAAATGCCTTGTTTATTCACTTCTGCACCAAACTGATTATGCCTTTGTTTTATAGTGACCTTGTTGTACTGAAATAGCTCATCCGCCTGTCTGCTTTTCTGTGTCACTGTCTGCAGGAACTGTTAAAGTGAAGCAGGGCTCTCTCACCGCCATGTTGAACAGTGGAATCCGCCTTTCTTACAGTTTCTATGGTCCAACGGGACAACACAGAGGTTCACCATATAAATTCCTAGTGCATTTTAAAACCTTGAATGCTGTACTGGAGACAAAATTGCCAAGTTTCATATGTGATTTTTCAGAGGATACTCAAGAATCAGAACATCCTGAGACTTCATCTAATAAAAATGTTAATCATGACCTCAAGGATACGCAACCAGGTTCACAAAACAAGCCCCAGAGTACATCAAGTCCAACTGAAGCACCAGTAGCTCAGGTCTTGCTCATAACACGAAAAGACTATAATGTTAAAATGTGTATTCTGTTGCCCTTTTAGATTACAACAGTTGCCTTAATTAAGTTCTTATCTCCGCTTTTACACCCTTTGTCTTCTTGTCCTCTTTCACTACATGCATACATCTTGTGTTTTTCAGTGCTTCTATACATCACCTTTCTATATTCATTATACTGTTCTTGACTAGATTAATTTACTCTCCCCACTTTGCAATAAAGCAATGACAAAAAACTACTTATAATTTATTATAATCATGTTTTTTGTACATTTAGGAAGTTGAAACTGGGTTAGTCGCCCCCTGTTGCTCATTTAACAGCCTCAGTGTATCTCTCCCCAATTGCCTCCTGCTGCAGTTGCTATGCGAGGATTCACAAGGTCAGTGTCTACTTATGCCCTGTGGAGCTTAAACTAGTCAATTTAAAGTGCCCTTGACACAAAGTCATACCAGGACAGATATTTCTACTCTATTACTTTTCTAAAGCTATAGCCTGTGTGTTCTAGGTGTACCATCTGAAGAAGTGGGTATGCTGGTCAGACAGAGCTTCCCTTTGAGCAAAGAGATTCCTGATTTGTCATTGTCTAAAGAAGTGTCTCGTCTGATCACAAGTCAAGGGGCTGTAGTCCGCAATATGAAAGATGGCTCCACTGAGGTACAAAATCTACAAATACATATAAATTATCAAAGCTAGTGTTTCTTAAATGGTGGTAAATGTCCTAATGTAAAGCAAGGGGAAGTAAAGGTTTGGATAACTTATTGATTTGGTTACATAATATACCAAAATATAGCAGTATTGATCAATAATAAGGAATAGGCTACTAGTTCAGATATAGATGAAGATAATTTGTAAAACCATTCAGAAAAATTCCAAGTTGGTCTACAGTTGTCAAAAGTATGGAAACTCAGATGCTAATCAATACTAAAACTAGTACCAAAACTAGATACATATTTGAAAAAGTATCTATATTAAAAAAGTCACATTCACAGGACAGAAATGAACGTTTCCAGAAATAGATTTAAAATGAGCTTGAGCTGTATCAGAACAAGTGTAAAATCACATAGACTAGTATACGTCCATGGACTGATGTGTAACATTACCGGACGACTGAGGGATTACACAGATATAAGGTCATGTGGCAGTATAAAATACAGTACTATTATTTAATGTAGTTTCAAATGTATTTAAACTTAATCTAATCTTCGTTTATCGTGCAGGTTCTCTTTGCAGATGGGTCTGTGAGTTCCAGTCAGGATTCAGGTCCTGTCTGGGTCCCTGTCTCTGATACTCATAACACAACTCAAGAAACCATGAATGACACAAAAGGTTCCACTTGAGCAAAGGATAATAAGATTGAAAATTAGATTCTTTAGTCATGATTAATTTGCATTCAGTGTTGTACGTCCTTGTCATTCTGATTGTCTACACAGAACGAAGCCTCGCACATAATAAAGAAAATGAAAGAGGATTTTGGTCAACAACAACGCCATCTGGAGCCCGTATTAGCACTGTCGGTACTAGCCACAAATGTTTACCCACTTCACCGCTTCTAATTTTTAAAGCTACAGACCCAAAGACCAAAGAGGTGAAAGAGATGCATTGCAAATTTTAAACGTATTTAACCATAACACTTAACTGAACTATTTTTTCATCATGAATTCTTTCTTCCTGCTTTATTAAGGTTATAAATGTTGTAGTTACTCTAAAGCGTCACCATTTCTTTAGCACATCAAGTCGAAATGATCAGTTAACTTTGACTATCAAACCTCAGGTGATGCTGACAAGGGAGGATGGAGTGGTGTCTGTTCAAAACCCCGATGGATCGATGATAGTGGAGCACGCAGACGGGACCAGGATCACCAGTCTATACGAAGAGTCTCTGCCCATACACAAAGGTGATACAAAACTGACAATATTTATGATCATATAATAATGCATTAACCATACATTTTACTTAGCATCTGTAACATGCAGGTAGTAAAACTATCACATTAAATAAATAACAATTGTATGGACCAATGTTTAGTTTACAATAGTTACAGTTTCAGCTTGATAATGTAATATGAAATGGGCATATTGAAGTTTAGTTGTAGTGGGCAAGATTTTAATAGCCTACAGCCACACTAGGGATGCACTGATCCAGCTTTTTCAATTCCAATACTGATATCAGTACTTTGAATTTAAGTATTTGCTGATATCAATTAATTCCAGGGCAGAAACTGCATGTATTTTCTTAAAACACAAATAAACTGGTTCAAAATTGTTATGTGTAGCTCTTCAAGTAACTAAAGAAAGGGTATAATTTGAACCTATATCTTGGAATTGATATCCAATCCAGCAATATTTAGTTAACTATATAACATCTAAATAGTCCAACAAGGTTCATTTGGTCGTTTATTAGATAACTTTTTCGCACCAAGAGTTTGTTTTCGTACCTGACAATTTAAACTGCTCACTGGTTGTCTTCCTCAGAGTGGTCACGTGATGTTGCTGTGACATGTCTGGTCAGCTGATTTAAACATGTTTTGACCAGACACGTCACAGCAACATCTTATGACCACTCGGAGAAAGACCCTTACTGAGCAGTTGAAAAAAACTCTAATAAAATAAAAATATATAATAGCTTCTTCTATTCTAACTCTTGGTCACCTTTGTAGGAGAAAGGCCTAAAAGTACAACTCTCAAGTCCTCTTCTGCTGAGTCTGAAGTGAGCCTGAACAATCACAGTAGTGAGAACACAGACTCTGCTTATTTAGAGCTGGGGAATAAGGGAAGAGCTCACACCACCATCTATGAAAACAGCCACGAGAGTTTGTCTGACAGTCGCAAAAGCAGCTCAAGTGAAAATGAGTGCGTGCCCATGAAGGAGAAAGTGGTTTTAGTGGAGAAGGAGGGCTGTGCCACTGTGGCCATGTACCCGGACCGCCACATGGCTCACATCTTCCTGGCAGATGGTACTGTCATCACAGGGAACAATGAAGGGGCATATCAGGTGCGTGGCTTTGGAAGTATTAAATGTATAAAAAGATACTATGATCATATATGAGAACCAATACGCACAAAACTGATGCACTGTATTCTGGCATCTTTTTCTCACAAGTGGCTGTACAGTGATATGTTGATGTTAAGCCAAATTGTTATCTGACCCTGTAAAGAACTGCCAATTTAAGGGATGGTTATGTTCTGATTCAGAGCTTGCAAATTAATGAAGCTCTATTCTTAAAACTGACACTTTTCCCCTATTTCCTCCCAGAAAGCATGAACTCTCAGTAGAAACAGATTAATAATTATCTCTGAAGTCAGTGTTATGCTGCAAAATATTAGGCTCTAATAAACATGAGGTTTTTTTTTCTTTCAATTACAATCTCTTGATAGATTGACCAAGAAGTGATCCAGTCTAAATATTCAAATAATACCCACAGTTTTAATGATGATAATTCCCAGGCCCTAAATTAAATATATTACATAATCCTTTATTCTCCGTGGTCATAAAATTATGCTTTATCAACATTTCTACCAGTAATTATGTGTTAAGTAACATTTCTATCCAATTCTGTCATAATAGGTTTTCCCAAATGTTGTTTCAAATGTGGGCTTACTCCAGATCCACAGCGATGGAAAATGCATGTACACCTCTGACCCGCTTGACACGCACCGACCAGGAGGAGGCGCCACCGTAAACCAGTGTGGGACATACACCATGAGTCACCGCGATGCCGTGGCTTGTGACGTCACGGATCAGGAGGGGAACCATTTTCAGGTCTGAGCTCGGAGTGTGGCTCGGAGTGAGAGATCAGATTCAGCATTAGCTCAGACGAGTAATAAGACCGTAAAGACACCATAAACCAACTGTCATTAGGAGGAGACAGAATAATGTATACATAATCGTGGACTTCACAGGGGGTCGGACTGTATTTCAGTGGTTTATTGCTATAATGGCTCCGTCAAGATTATATGCTCTCGGGGCAAAAAAAGAAATTATGTTAAGACTGGGCACTATACTGGTGTACTGGTACAAACTGAACTGTGATCTCATCCCTGAGATGATCTGCCTTTTAGGTCATATTGTGATTCTTTTTTTTTTTCAAATTCAGATTTTTTTCCACTTACTTCGCCTATTGGTTAGCCTCTGGAATAAGGCTTTGAGTGAGTGACAGCTGGATTTAACCAATGATAGAAAAGCATGAACATTCAGAAGAAGCACTTTATTTCCCTCTTAAAGGCAACAGAAATAAACAGTTTACATGAACTGTGATTAAATCAAATTAGTGATTTGATGCCAAGAAAATTGTGATATTACATATGTTTTTTCATATTGCTAACTAGTAATATATCTATAATTATAAGAAAGAGAATCAGTCAATTAAAAGTTTTGAGATTAGAGGTTACTAGTAGAGCCTACATTTCTCTGGGGACATGCAGCTCAAGCCACAGGAGGGGGTACAACTTTAAATTTTCAGGAAACAACTGTGAAATTGAATCGTACTTGAAAGTACAATGTTCTTTGTAGTACATTTTACATCCTCTAAGTGTGAGACAAGACTTCAGGGGCACTCAAGAGAAATGGGATTGGAACCACTGTCTTACATGATACCAAGTTTGGGGGGAAAAAAAGACAAAAGGATAAAAAAAACAATATTGGAGTCCTGAGACAGTATTTCAGTTTGTCAGATGAATCTAGAATCAGTATTACTTCAAGACATTGGCTTTATACTCTGCCTGTATTCTCACTTATTTAGATGCTCCCAATTCATTGAAAAACACGATAGTTCAAGTGGCTTGCAGACTTGCATACTGATGACCCATCTTTGTTAGAGCTGTAATAAAAGTGGGCTTCTATTTAAAGATTCAGACAGGCAGCTCTGGGACAGGGGTGGGTTCGTGTCAGCTTGTTTGTGCCTCCAACAAAAGCAGCAAATTCGAAACAAACACTGTCTCAGATCACAGCTTCTAACCTCACTCTGGTTTTCTCACTTCAGGTGATGGAAGACGGGACCATATCTGTTTTAAACCTCAGTCCAGCTTCTGGCACATTTGGGAAAGATGATGAAGAAGACTTAGAGATGGCTAGATCAGAAAAACGCTATGAACACAGCCCAAGGTGATGCTTAAAGACTGTTAAAACAATTTTGCAATCTCTAGTGAGTTAGTCCTTTTTAGATTTCAGGGCTCAGGTTTATACATATACTATATATTACTTACAATTTGGGTTTATTAGTGAAGTTAAATAAACATTGACACACTTTATTGATCTACAAGTACACAGTACACAGTAGCTCACATATTGCAAAATAATAACAAAGAGCAAGAGATTAATGGTAATAAATTTCAAAATAATTAAAGTAGCAAAGATAGCAAAATAGGTACGCCAGATTATAGACACACTACCTAATTACACATACACTCTTCTTAACCTCTATACTGTAAAAAGTCGTGCAGTGATTGGTTTTAAATGAGATGTAGTGAAACCATATTATAATAATGTATTTTAGGAGCTTTATAATGAACATAATTAATGTTCCAGGCTTTTTATTGCACATGAGAATGGTTCAGGGACTGAACTGCTCCTCTCTCAGAAAGTGGAGGATCTACTTTTTCAGGCGTACTCTGATCCCACTGTGGCCGTCATGAAGGAACCACTGCCCGACAGACAAGGTGCAGGCACAGCTTCATTTACAAACACCTTTCATTGTCATTTCATTTGATTTATTTCATTATTGTGAATGTTTTTTTATTTTGTGTACATGTGTATTACCTTATTTTTTTATTTATGTAATTTATTTATTTACTTTCATTAATTCATTTATTTATTCATTCAGGAACCCAACACAGTACTTGTATTGTATGCTTGTATAATGAATGAATGAATGAAGTGAATTTCATTTAATTTATAATAAGTAAATAAGTTTAATCGGGTAGTAACAAGCTGCTGTCTGTGCAGATGAGTTTGGCATTACCATACTGACGCCTGGTCATGAGAGCGTGTGGTCACAGTGGTTATTAGCCAAACAAAAGTCAGACATTACTCCTCCCAACCTCAGAAACCGCAGCTGGAACGACTTCCCCAGAGCAGAGGTACATATTAACCAAAGAGTCTTTACTCTTTCAATTTGTATTTATTCATCTATTTATTGTCCAACCTAGAAACCAACTGCCGGTCCTCCCTTTGGCACAGACATGGGTAGATGTCTGTCCCTCACTCCCAGGTGTGATGGTGGTTCAGTGACGCAGAATGTTCCAGTGAGGAGTTGTCCCAAAGTTTTGGAGATGAGGGAACTGCAGCAGCACCGACCATTCACATCTCCTCTGAGGAACAATCTGGACACACAACTCAAGGTTACAACACATATTCTAGAAATAATACTATTTAACAGGGTCAAAGAATAAACATGGTTATTTTATCTTGACATATTAGACACCAAGTAATACTATGTATGTCTTAAGGGTAATTGTGGGATATTTTAGCTTGTTGCATTTTAAAGGTGCTGTACCCAATTTTTACTGTCTTAAAAACTTGAAAAAAAACTAACTAGTTTACAGTGGTTCAGAGTTATTCCTTCCTTTTTTCCTAATTATTAACTATGAAGAGATTCTAAGTGGTTTTCACAATTTTCAGAGGCTGGACCATAGTTTTACTGTTACTATATAATGTTATACTCTACTATACTATACTATATAATGACAGCTAGCATACTGTGTGTTAATCCTATTTCGCAGAAGATAAAAACGCTTTATAATTAGATGAAGACAGCACACAGTGCTGCTCTTACCATATACTAGGGCAAGACTACATTAATCAGGCACAGCCTCTTTAAAACCAGTAGAATTATATTGTGATGCAGGATTTGTTTCATGATCCTAATAAAAAGATGGCAAAAAAAGTATGAAAGAAACTGATGATGTATGGGCGGTGTGACTGTGACTATAGGAATACATTGAAAGTTTAATGGAAAAGGAGCAGCGATCAGAACAGATGAAGATTAAAGACCCTCGCTCAGAGAAGGAGCACGGCCATGCCAGTGATCTGCTTCATCTTGTTCTGGTGAGCACCAACCAAAAACATTTCTGCATCCTCAGATAATATGCTAAAATGTACTTAAATGCAATGAAATGTTTAGTCTTTTGCAGAAGAGGAAGATTTATCACAGAGCAATGAAAAAAATCTCAGGTGAGCAATGACTTGATTTTATAGGTTTCAGTTGGCCAAAATCTGTTTTATAATATAGTAATCGCTGTGTTTTTTTTTAGATATTAGTAGTCTTTACATGCAAGGGATTAGTGGAACAGTTGAATCTGATCCTTCTGAGGAAACAAGCACACTGGCAAGTGAAAGGTAATGATCACAAAGCAAACTTAGATTTTAGTTTTAGGGAATAATTATGATATTTTTGTTATTGTTGATTCTAGTTTTGCCATTGGAAGTGATTCACAATGGTCCGGGAGGCTTGCAATGTATAGGTAAAACTTTGAATGCTATTTTTGTTTGTTTTGTATGCTATTCAAGTTTACTGGTAGATAGTGTTCAGTACAATATGTATTTTTCAGACAGGAGCTATTAGAGGAGAAAGCATGCAAAGACGCTTTGAGAAAGAAAACTATTGTTCCTTATTTCCATTTAGAGAACCTTTCACTTTATGAGGTAACATTTATTTTAAAAGATGACACAATGAAAACAACAAAAACACAACAACAACAAAGGCTTTTATAGTAACAGGTTTTGAAAATTGTTTGTCGTTTTATGTTATCTAGAGTCTACTCCATCAAGAATTATCGAACACAAGGATTCAAGTTTCTTCAGTGCCCCCAAAACCTGACATAGAGAGAAAAGAAAAGACCAAGAAAAGACCCTGTGAGTTAACAGTATATTACACAAGTTTATATACATCTGTGCATATCTCCAGTCCAAATCAGTTTAATATTTTTTGCATGTTTTTGTTTTGTTTGTAGCTCCAAAACCCATTAAGTCAAGAGCCTCTTTGTCACCAAGGTACAGACTAGGTTTCTGTGAATACACAATACACAACCCCACATTTTGTTAAACTGTTGCATAAAATCTTTCTTTTTTTGTGTTTTGTTTTTAGCCCTACAGCGTTGAAGATTTCAGCCAAAACCCCTATTGACTCTCCTCATCAGGCTACAGGTTAGTTCTGGACTGAAGAATTGCTCTCATTGTAAGGAGATAATTAACCTCGGTCCACTCCTTATAATCCATCTGAAAACACTGAAGGACACGCTCTAAATCCTATTTTTAGGACAAACAATCCAGTGCATATACCAGCCAATTACATGCATGTATGTGGGTGAATTTGCTACACTTACTTCAATGCCTTACTGTGTATTGCTGGGTTTCAAGCTTTGGCAATGATCCTCTACCAACAATTAGGCAGATCAATGAAAGCATGATGTATTTTGGACATAGAAACCTTCAAATCAGGCAGGAATAATTTGACTGAAACTAATGAATAGCAGTCTATCAGCTTCCAGAGCTGCTCTTGGCATACCAGTCAAAAGTTTGGGCACACCATCTCTATTCAGTGTTTTTTGTTTGTTTGTTTATTTTCACCACTGTCTACATTTTAGATACAAAAGATATCAAATATATTAAGTAAGATACTGTATTTTCACTATAGGGCGCTCTGGATTATAAGGCGCACTGTTATAGAATGGTCTAGTTTAAATTTTTTTTCACAAATAAGAACACCGGACTTTAAACTAAACACAACAGTTGGATGGGTCAGTGGGACTTTGTTTGGCGTGTCCACAGTGACTCTGGTCTTTGTTCAGTTGTGGTGTGTAGGGAGGGTGCTGTCTGGGACCGCTGGATTGTTGGCGTGTTCACAGTGACTCAGTTGTTCAGTTGTGTCTAGAAGTGGCACATTGCACTTGCTTTTTCGGTTCGTTCCTTTGTTCCGTTCTTCGTCCAGGTGGAATGATGAGTGTGTCTGTGGGTGTTTTTCGCTGTGTGGTCGTTTTCTGCTTCGCGTTTGTTTGCGTGTGCAGCGGGTGGTGCGGCTTTGTAGTGTAGGGGCGCGCTGGATTGCGGGGTGCCCAGTCGTTTTTTGATGGGTTTGAAGGTTTAAGAGCGCACCCTATAGCCCGGAAAATACTGTATATGAAATTATATAGTAAAATGTTGCCCATAAAATTTTTTGTAGAGTTTTTTGCTTGTTTTTTACTACATAGTTCCATATATCTTGCATCATATATTTGACTGGTAGTGTAGGTTAGGTTCACGTTTTGTAATTTGATTATTTCAAAGTCTCATGTAGATGTAAAATGTAGGACTGGTAACTGCTGTTGTATTTACCAGGCCAAAGCATTTGCATCTCAAGTTGCTCAAAGCTATCATGCCATGAACACCACCTGCTATGTTCTCTTTAGCTGAGAGCAATCTGAAGACATCTGTGCAATACAAATCTGTCACTGTAGATGTGACCGGCCAACCCAGAAAATCTAAAGTCAGATTGCCAACTTGTATCAAGACTACTAAACCCAGGAGTGTACCCAATCACCAGGTAGAGCACTCATTCAGACCTTTATATCGTTAATATGTATTGAAACTCTTGTGCTCATAACAAATGTTTGCTTCTAGTTTCTGTCTGTGGAGGAGCCAGTGAGGAGAAAGTGCCGCACTGTTTCTCTGATAAATCCAGAGTGTGTAGTGAGGGGCTTCCACCTCCACCCACCCCGTGTGGACTTTGGCTCAGTGCTGGAGGGAACTACCTCCTCTGTCACGGTGCTCATGAAGAATGTGGGTGTGGACACATGCAGGTGAGTTTATTCAATTAGATCTAAAGCTACACTGTGTCACTTTTCTGGTGGGTCTGCTTGTCTCCATGGAGATGGTACTGCTTTGCCTGGATTGTTCCACAGTATGGCAATAAATGTATCTATCTGTGACTTTATCTTTTTATCTTGAAAAAATACATTCTTAAAGTGAACAGATGTGCCTCTTTACAGATCTGACCTATAACTTGGCCTGGTGGCATCATCTGCTTGTCATCAATGGAGATAGATACAGTACATTTAATGCCAAACTGTGGAAATCTGCAGTTCAGTGGAGAGCTAACCAACATTTTTTTTCCTTTTTCTTTTCTAAGATTCAGTATCAAACAGCCTCCTCCGTCTACAGGTCTTCGTGTTGTCTACAATCCTGGGCCTGTAAGCCTTCAGTAATTATGTTTTATTGTCCGTACATATTTCTGCTTTTAATCCTTATTTTTGTCTGTAGGTGGCCGCCGGTTTGCATGTTGAGATACAAGTTCAGCTGCTTGCCATGTATTCAGTCCAACCTGGAGAAACTGAGACGAGGAAATCACTCTCTCAAGACATCACCATCCACACTGAGACAGATATAATCTACCTACCTGTCATTGCTAATATCCTTTCTATAACCTAAGGGTTGTCTAACCGTGACAACTAAATACTATGTATTCCAGTATTAAGCCATATATTTTCAGTAATTAAATGAAAATCCTAATTACAATACCTGAAACTGATTGATGCTACTAATGCTTAGGACTTACTAATGTCCGTATGTTCCTTAATGATATTCACCCATTCTGTCGGAGAGGCTTTGTGAGATCTCAAGGCAGGAGCAATCCAGAGGGCACAACAGAAGAACCTCCAGGACATCCAGACTCTCAAACAGTGCCACACTACAGCCCACTAGGTAACTTTTGAAGGACACTTTTTTTATTCTAATTGTCATTATGTTACTGTGAGCATGTTTGTACATGAATGTTTTTGTTCTTTTTAGATTTTAATTCCAGACTCAGTCTTTGAGGAGATGTCATTGTACTACAACAATACAATAAAGTATGAAAATGTTGAAAACATGCAAACCACACTCGTTGGATCCGTACTGTCTCACTCTTGATATCACATCACATCATGTACGAGTATGAATAGGAAGAGCACGACTCTCCCCCTGTGCGCGTGCTCGCGGGATGTTGGTGTGTGACGTCAGTAGGACTAGATGCGGGCATCAGTTGAATGATAAATATATAATAAATAGAACAGACAGACAAACACAGGCAGACTCTCGTGTTTCTCCTCCTGCTGTAACAGTGAGAGTTCAGTGAGGATCTCGCAGGTAAACGCAGAGCCTTTACGTCAGTGCTGGGTTTCCTTCGCGCAGTTGGGCACGCGAGCGCACGTGCACCTGCACACGCGCAGCATCCGGAGCGGTGGCAATGGACGCGGAGTGAAGCGGAGGAGAGGCGCTTCGACAGCGGAGGCGCTTTTGGCTTAGACCGAGTCAAGGGCGCGATGGAGAGGCGAGCTAAACACTGAGCGCACCGAGAGCCCGCGGAGAAATAACACAAGCGCTGAACCAAGAGAAAACGAGGCTTGTTTGCCGCAGGCCCCGCCATGGTGAAACCGGATAGCAACTTGCGGCGGATGGGGTGACCGAGCTCGCTGCTCCGCCGGGGAGGTCCCTGCCTTCGGACAGCACCGGGGAGGGAGCTGCCTCAGCCCGCTGCTCGGAAGGGAAGGAGAGGCAGCGGAAAGATGCAGACGGAGGAGGACACGGCCGCCGCACAAGAGCCCATTTTGGAGGAAGGGTCAGGACGAGAGCAGGTACGAAGGACATTTTCTACTCACTAATCACCGTCAGGTGTTTCACGCGGACAGTTGGCGCGCGCATCCTCCAGTGCGATAGGACTGTACAGGACAGTATGTATGTAGAGTCATGTTTGTGTTGACATGTTTTCACTGGGCTGTCTATGTAGCCCTCTGTGTAGATCTCTAAACGCATCTCTAAACGCAGTAAAGTGCTTCGTCTGCTCGGCTCGGGGCTGTCAAAACATAGTCACGTTTCCAGTCGTCTTCTGAGCGTGCAAGGGCACTCCGGACTTTGACCAATTTACAACGAGACCAGAGTGTTCCAGACTGGAGAAGAGATGGAAGCCTTATGCTTTATGAAGAATTATATTATGCTTACTATCTATTTTTAACCAGCATCCCACAAGACACATGTCAGGTGTTTTTTTCTCTCTTAATATGTTAAGATTACGATCTGCTCATGCTAGTTTCTTCTTTGAGGTTATCTTAATATCTTAATTGAAAGGGAGTAGTCTTCTTTAAGGGTTGTCACGCTGCCTGCACTTCTCATCACACGCACCTTTAGCATGTGACTGGCGCCATCACTTATTTATCATGAGAAAGACTCGAATCACTGCTGAATAATATTGAGATTTCTATAGCAAAAGATGACATAATGAGACTAGAAGCAGAAAATAATCACGGTTAACTCAGGATGTGGGCTGGCCTATCCAGTTCCACACTGCCATTCATAATTGCACTATTAACATGATTTGCCCTCCATCCCTGGAGTATACCCTTGTGTGCATGTGTGTGCATCAAATATCCCAAAATAACCATTTCCTGTTAAAAAATACAAGAAATACAACAAATAGCTCATGTTCTTTGAGTAAGTTGTGCCCACTGACACAGCAAATCCTCATATTGAATCGATCTTTTCATCCATGTTGTTTCTTGTTCCCATCAATTAGCCTGCCCTACCTTCAAAAATACTATATGTATGTGCCATGTTTAGTATAAGTGCTTTTGCTGCTTTGTCTTTTTTGTAAAATACTTATGATTCTATTTATTCAGATGTCAGGTGAGTTATTCGGATGCCCTCCCTGATGTAATTCTTCCTCTATATCTGAGTTTGGGCTGTCAAAAGAAAATCAGTACTAAAACTTATTTGATACTGAAAAAGTCACATTCACAGGACATAAATGAACCTTTCCTGAATAGCTTTAGAATGATCTTGAGCTGTATCAGAACAAGTATAAGAGCACATAGACTAGTATACATCCATAAACCACAATGGAACACATGGGAATATAAAAGAAAATACTATGATTTAATGTTGAAAATGACTTTTTATTGTCTAAATAAACAGTGCCATTTATTATTATTGTGGTATCAGAATCAATATTGAGTATTGAGTCTATTTCTTAGTATCAAAATAGCATCTGAAATTTAGTATCGTGACAACAGTAATTACAGTAATAAGTTTATTTAGCAATGGGCTGGATAATATTTTTGTACTTTGACTGTTATCTCAAATGTCTAACATAAAACCACATTCTAAAACTAATACTAATTTAGTATAGTATTGTAATATTAATCACTTCACAAGTCTGTTCATCACATGTTCTAATTATGGCATTAAGTGTCATACAGTGGTATACAGGGGTGTGCAAAAATATCGAAATATTGATATGTCATATCATTTAATGTGATGATACAGTATCGATATCGGGGGCTGCTGGGAGGTTTTTTTGGTATATATTTCAATCTTACAATATATATATATATATATATATATATATATTTTTTTTTTTTTGTTTAGTTTTTTTGTTACAGCGTTACAATTTTGTTGCTTGTTTAGAGGAAGAAAAACTCATTTATGCGACACATTTGACATTTTCACTGATGAGTAAAATGTTTGTGTTTCATATGAACTTTGCACAAGAAGTGGTTTAAGAAAGACTTTTAGTATTACAGCCATGATTTAACCTTTATTTTTATTGAACTGTATTGAATCGATTTAAAATATGTCGAATCCAAAGTGCATTGTATCGAGATATGTGTCGTATCGTGGCCTATGTATCAAGAGATGTATCGTATCTGCAACTTCAGCAACCCTAATTGTAATACTAAGTGTTTGGTATAGTGTAATTCAATGAACCCATTTTCTGCATTTGCCACCATATCTCCCTCTCATCCTTTCATTTATTCCTCCTTTCCCACTCACAGTCATGCTTCCATATGCTCTCCTCTCCATAACTCTTTTTCTCCAACATGTAGGCTACACACTCATATCTGGATGATTTCAGTATCTTCTCTCCCACGAGGCCGGTGTTGATTTCAATTTGCTGATTCCAGTCTTTCCAAAAACAGACCGGTGACACTTTACACCGGCCTAAAATGGCTTCGTAAGGTGTTAATTCGCCACAACCTTAATTTTGCCGTTGAGTAAACACAAATTCAACCACGTAAATGTTTACTGAGGCATTTCTCGCCCCAAATGCTTAAAAAAACTCAACCGGATAATTGTGGTGACAGGGCTAATAGATACCTGCCATAGGGAATGAATGGCTTCTACTGTGGGAGTTTTTTTCCATGTGTTGTGGGCCTTCACTTCACTTCTCTCACTTCATTTGCCTCCCACATGCTCCCAGTGCTAATTATAGACACTCGAGGCACACCTAGTCATCCGAGTCTTATAAGCAACCGTGAAGAAACACTGACATTTCCTGTTATGATCCAAAGAGCCGTTAGCGCAAAGACACAGGTGCAGGTGAACAAACGCGGGAATCGAGCGATAGATGGTCAGACAGGGACATTTTTCTTTCTTTTCCCCTGGGCCTGACAGCACACATTAATAAGAAACACAGTCTGAAAAATGGATCAGGGCCCCGCAATATGACTTTCCAAACAAATACGGAATAACTGAGGATTGTGCGAGCAACCTTCAACTTCACAATATTTCTGGAGATCAAAGGAAAGGCCAGCAGCACAATCGTATGTTAAGAACTTCACTTTAAACAGAATCTGAACCTTACATTTGATTTATACTGCAAATTTCTACTTATTATTTAAAAAGCATGCAGGTTTTTTTTCACAATTTGAAGACAAAGACGGAAATGAACAAAAAACATGTGGGGTAACATTTAGTGAAATAACAAGTAGACAAGGCAGATTAACAAATCAGAGAGACATGATCCATTCAAACATGACAGTTTACACATAGAAAACGGGGAAAACAACATTAGCATTAACAACATTTTTACACAATCAACAATCAAAGCATCAAACTATTATTATATGAGAATTTTGGAGAGGTCCGTCCACAGGCTCAGTCACAACTCGGTCCTTCCCATTGTCCTTCTCTGACATCTCACGCAGCACACTCCATCTTCCTCCTTCTACATTTTCAGTGTAGGAAGACTGAGCTTCTTCCACCATTACAGAATTATCTGAGAGCATGTTACCAGTGCAGTTCTATTACTGTGCTCAGATATGGCACCAGTCGCCCAGTAGACACAGCCCTGGTCAGTAAGGAAGTAACACTAGAGCCGGTACCATTCAGAAGTTGACGATACGATACATACCTCGATACACAGGCCATGATATGATACATATCTTGATACTGTGAGATTCAATATAATTCAATACAATATATTTCCAATCAATTCGATACGGTTCAGTTAAAAAATAAGTGTTTAATCATGGCTGTGATACTAAAAGTCTTTGTTAAACCACTTCTTGTGTAAAGTTCATATGAAACACAAACATTTTACTCATCAAACAGTGAAAATGTCAAATGTGTCACATGAATGAGTTTCCTTCCTCTAAACAAGCAACAAAACTATAGCT